AGTGCCCACATGAAAAAACTGGAGAACAGTCATACTAGAGAATTAATAGCACAGCTGAATGTTCTAGAACAAAAAGAAGCAAACTCCCCCAGGAGGAGCAGACGCCAGGAAATAATCAAATTGAGGGCTGAAATCAATCAAGTAGAAACCAGGAAAACATTGAGAAGAATCAATGAAACAAAGAGTTGGTTCTTTGAGAAAATCAACAAAATAGACAAACCTCTGTCCAAACTAACCAAAAGACAGAGAGAGAACATGCTAATTAACAAAATCAGGGATGAGAAAGGGGACATAACAACGGACTCTGAGGAAATCAAGAGAATCATCAGGGCATACTTTGAAAATCTGTACTCCACAAAATTTGAAAATTTAAAGGAAATGGACAATTTCCTGGATAGATATCACTTGCCAAAACTAAATCAAGAACAGATAAATAATCTAAACAGACCTATAACCCCTAATGAAATAGAAGCAGTCATCAAAAGTCTCCCAAACAAAAAAGCCCAGGCCCAGATGGCTTCAGTGCAGAATTCTACCAGAAATTCAAAGATGAGCTCATTCCAATACTCGTCAAAGTATTCCACACTATAGAAGCAGGAGGCTCACTGCCAAACTCTTTCTACGAGGCTACAATTACCTTGATACCCAAGCCACACAAAGACACAACTAAGAAAGAGAACTATAGACCAATTTCCCTCATGAACATTGATGCAAAAATACTCAATAAAATACTTGCAAACCGGATTCAAGAACACATCAGAAAAATCATCCACCATGATCAAGTAGGCTTCATTCCAGGAATGCAGGGATGGTTCAACATTAGAAAATCTATCAATGTAATCCACCATATTAACAATCTGCGAAAGAAAAACCACATGATCATCTCACTAGATGCTGAAAAAGCCTTTGACAAAATCCAGCACCCCTTCATGATAAAGGTCCTAGAGAGATCAGGGATAACAGGAACGTACCTGAATATAATAAAAGCAATATACAGTAAACCAACAGCTAACATCAAACTAAATGGAGAGAAACTCAAAGCAATTCCTCTAAAATCAGGAACAAGACAAGGCTGTCCACTCTCTCCATATCTCTTCAATATTGTTCTTGAAGTTCTAGCTACAGCAATAAGACAACAAAAGGAGATAAAGGGGATACAAATAGGAAAAGAAGAAGTCAAACTTTCATTATTTGCAGATGATATGATAGTTTACATAAGTGACCCAAAAAACTCCGCAAGGTTACTCCTAGAGCTGATAAACACCTTCAGCAATGTGGCAGGATACAAGGTAAACTCAAAAAATCAGTGGCCCTATTATATACAGATGATGAAGTGACTGAGAAAGAAATCAGAGAAACATCACCTTTTACAATAGCCAAAAACAGCATCAAATATCTGGGGATAATGTTAACCAAGGAAGTGAAAGACCTGTATATCAAGAACTTTGTGTCTTTGAAGAAAGAAATCAAAGAAGATACCAGAAAATGGAAAGATCGCCCATGCTCTTGGATTGGTAGGATCAACATAATAAAAATGGCAATCTTGCCAAAAGCAGTCTATAGATTCAATGCAATCCCTATCAAAATTCCATCACAATTCTTCAAGGACCTGGAAAGAACATTAATCAACTATATATGGAAAAACAAAAGGCCCAGGATAGCCAAAACATCCCTATACAATAAAGGAACTTCAGGAGGCATCACCATACCTGACTTCAAGCTCTATTATAGAGCTATAGTCCTGAAAACAGCTTGGTATTGGCACAAAAATAGGCAGGTAGACCAATGGAACCGAATCGAAAGCCCTAATTTTAACCCACACACCTATGAACACCTGATTTTTGACAAAGAAGCTAAAACTGTACAGTGGAAAAAAGAAAGCATCTTCAACAAATGGTGCTGGCATAACTGGGTAATGGTATGCAGAAGACTGCAGATAGATCCATGTTTATTGCCTTGTCCAAATGGATCAAAGATCTCAACATACATCCAGCCACACTGAAACTTTTAGAAGAGAAAGTGGGAGATACTCTTCAACGAGTTGGTACAGGACACCACCTCCTAAACATAACACCAGTGGCACAGGCACTGAGATCAACAATTAACAAATGGGACCTTCTGAAACTAAAAAGCTTCTGTAAGGCAAAGGACACAATCAAAAAGACAAAAAGGCAGGCCACAGAATGGGAAAAGATATTCACTAACCCTACATCTGACAGAGGGCTAATCTCCAAAATTTACAAAGAACTCAAGAAACAAGTCTCCAAAACACCAAAGGATCCACTTGAAAGGTGGGGTACAGAGCTAAATAGAGAATTCTCAGTAGAGGAGGCTAAAATGGCCAAGAGACACTTAAGAAAGTGCTCAACATCCTTAGCCATCAGGGAAATGCAAATCAAAACAACTCTGAGATACCATCTTACTCCTGTCAGAATGGCTAGAATCAAAAACACCGAAGACAATTTATGCTGGAGAGGATGTGGAGAGAGAGGAACACTCCTCCACTGCTGGTGGGAATGCCGACTCATACAGCCTCTTTGGAAATCAGTATGGAGATTCCTCAGGAAAATGGGAATTAATCTACCACTAGACCCAGCAATTCCACTCTTAGGCATTTATCCAAATGAGGCAGGTTCATACAACAAGGGCATCTGCTCCACTATGTTCATAGCAGCATTGTTTGTAATAGCCAGAACCTGGAAGCAACCTAGATGCCCCTCAACTGAAGAGTGGATAGAGAAAATATGGTACATTTACACAGTGGAGTATTACTCAGCAGAAAAAAACAATGGAATCTTGAAATTCGCAGGGAAATGGATAGCACTGGAAGAAACCATCCTGAGTGAGGTAACCCAGTCGCAAAAAGACAAACATGGTATGTACTCACTCATATATGGATTTTAAATATGGATCAGGATAGTGCCAGTCTGCACTTCCACAGATAGAGAGTCTGGGAAACAGGAAAGAACCTAAAAGATATGCATATATGCATAGTACCCAAGAGAAGAGAATGGAGACAAGATCCTCTGAATGGATGGGGAACACGGCGAGGGGGGGTAGTGGGACCTGGGAAGAATAGAGGGGGTAAAGAGGAAGGGAGTTGGTCATGGGGGAACAGGAAGTTGAGGGGTGGGGTAAAATAGGGGGAAGAGGGAATCATAGGATCGAAGACAGATCAGGCACCAGAGTGACCTCGAGTGATCTAAAGGTATAACATCAATTGGCAAGCTAAGCAATAGTGGAAGGACCACCTCGAATGCCCATTCCTGATAATGAACTTGATGTCTATAACCATCCGGGAGCCTTCATCCTGTGACTGATGGAAGCAGAGGCAAACACACAACTAAGCACTGAACTGAACCCAAGGAACCCAGTGACAGAGAGAGAGGAGTGATGAGCAAATTGGCAAAGAATGGGCTGGCAAAACCAGCAGAGACAGCTGATCTGAACAGGGGAGTGCTCTTGGACCCCAGACCGACAGTGGGGAGGCCAGAATGGGACTGATCTGGACCCCCAAATGTGAGTGTCAGTGAGAAGGCCTGGGCAACCTATGGGGCCCTGAGCTGTGGATCAGTGTCTATCCCTGGTATACAATCTGTCTTCATGTGCCTATAGCACAAAGAGAGATGCTCTCTCAGCCTGGACTCTTAGGGGAGTGCCTTGACCCTACCAAGAGTAAAATGATAGACTCTAGATATCCCCTATGCGGAAGGATTTGGCAATAGGGTGGGAGGGAGGGTGGAAGGGGAGTGCGGGAGGAGGGGAGGGAGAGGGAACTGGGATTGACATGTAAAACAAGCTATTTAAAATTAAAATAAAAAATGATAAAAAAGAATATTAGCAGCTGAGTTTGCACAACCTCACATTTTCCTGTCATTAATTTACACATTTTTATTACTGAATTTCTTCTGTTTTTCTTATTATTAGCTCTTTTATCTATAATTTGGGGGAACACCCTTTTTTCAGTTTCTAGTTTAACAGAGCAAAGACTTGGTGCCCTTAAATGCATACTGTGCAGTGTATCTGACATTGTGCTCGCTCCACCATTGCTATTGCAGAATGTATCATCAGGATTCTCACTTTCACTGGATTCAAAATTGTCCATTTCCTGTGCACAGTTTTTAAGGGTTTCCAGTTGTGCTACTTACCAGCTTCAGTCAGTTATGGTCTGTATCCCTACTCAACACAATGACCAGAGAGGCTCATGGGTAACTCTAAACTGAGCATCGTCTGCAGGGGCAGCAGCATTTTCTTAACTGATTTTATACCTCCTGCTTTAAATTTGCACGCATCCCTTTGAATTTACCTATTTTTGAGCCTCTTTTTTGGTTTTTAAATTTTTATTTATTATTTCACAATTTCACACACACAGTAATGTTTTTTGATCAAAGTTTCTCCTTCATCTTTTCCTACCACCTAATTCCTTTAGCTATTTCCCAAATTCCTCTTCTCCTTCAGTGTAGTGTGTGTGTGTGTGTGTTTGTGTGTGTGTGTGTGTGTGGTGTATGGTATGTATATGTGGTATGTGTATATGTGTGTGTGGTGTGTGTGTATGTGTGTGGTGTTTGTAGTGTGCGGTGTGTATGATGTGTGTGTGTGGTGTGTATGTGGTGTTTGTACATGGTGTGTGTGCACATAGTGTGTGTGTGCATGGTGTGTGTGTGTGGTGTGTCTGTGCATGGTGTGTGTGACATGTTTGTATGGTATGTGGTATGTGTGTTCTGTGGGGATGGTGTGTGTGTGAGTGGTGTGTATATGTGGTGTATGTGGTATGTATGTGTGTGTGTGTGTGTGTGTGTGTGTGTGTGGTGCCCAGCTGCTTTTAATTAGTGTTGCCTACATGAGATGAATACGGGATTGTTTGTGGGAATGAGAACAATGAGCTATTAGCTATACTACTGAGAAATATGATTCCCTCTCTCCCAGCAACCATTACCTGCCTGTACCTCCTCAGCAACTCACACCCCATCTATGAAGAGATGTTGAAATGCCACTGTTAGTGTGAGTTCATGGGTTTTCTTTTACTGGAAACAACAGAGAAGGAAGACAAGGAAACACTATGGACAATACTTCAGGGCCTTGAGCTTAGAATACTTAACTATCCTTAGAAGGGAAGTTTGACTTTCTTTTAAAGCAGGATCTTACTATGTAGCTGAGGTTGCCCGCAAACTTGTGATATTCTTCCAGCTGTTCAGCCTTCCAAGCATGTGAGATTTCAGCCATGTAACATCCAATGTGGCTTGAGGAGAAGCTTCCAAGAGGCATTTTCTGTGTTTTCACTTATGATGGGTGTATGGAGAACTTCCTCAATCCTCATCCTTAAAATTGTCCTCGGCAGTGGACACAAAGAGTAGATGAAAGCATGTGTGCTTTTCTTTCTTTTCTAAGGACATTTTATTTTTTATATCTGAGATACAGTCTTAGTCCCTTCCATCCACACATGTCCTCCTTTGGGTTAGACGCTCTGCAACACGATGTTGTGATTAATTTTGTCTTTGAATATTAATCTGCTTTTCTCCCTGGTTCAGATGGTGACATTTTTTATCGTAAGTGGTTTTATATTGTTGTCACATTTGGAATATGTATTGGTGTCTCGTGTCAGACTTTGGAGCCCTGGGGTGTCAACCTGATCTGCAGCCATTATCTCTTCCCACACTGAATTGTTCTTTCTTTGGTTGTCTTGTTCCTGGTCATTAAGAGATGACAAAGACTAATCAGGAAAGATGTAATTTTCATCATGGAATCAAAGACCTTTGATCCTTGAGCCCACCCAAACCTTCCTTTTATAACACAGGAAGCCCTTTGTCACAGTGAAGACAGCATGCTGTCTTCTCAGAATCATCACTCTCCTAACTATCCACACTGTGTGGCAATAGTTGGAGGGAAGATTATGTGAAATGTATGATAAATTAACTCAATCAATGAGTCATTACAATGAGATGTAGCTCAAGAAATGATGCACGAGTGTTGAGGAAATGACTCAGCAGCTAAAATGCTGCTACGTGTGAGGGAACCCACGTAAATGTCAGGTAGGTGTGGTTGTCCACCTGTACTTCCAGTCTTGGGGCAAGTGACTCCCTAGAGCAAATTTTCTAACAAGACCAGCCACATCAGAGAGCTCTGGGTTTGATTGAGAGATGCTGCCTCAATTAATAAGGAGAAAGAGCTATCAAGAATAGCATCATGCATACATATACAAGTGCATGCGCAGTCACAATGCATATGCCCACAGATGGAAAATTATGTATGCATATGCATGCATACCACACACACATGAGAAATTGAGAAAGAAGAAACAATAAGCAAAATAGATATCGGCCTCATGTAGCTTTAAAATCCTGTGGTACAGAATGATATTAGCCATAAATTCACACAATAGAAAAGTAAAACTATGTTAACTGCTAGTGAAAAGAGGTGTATGAGGGTTTGAAATACTAAGCCTCATTTCAATAATCAGGGAATTCTCTATAGAGCAAGTGAAACTGGAGCTGAGTTCTAATTCAATAAAATTAGCTGAGGCAATAGAAAGCAAAGGCCAGTTAGTGCTTCCAGTAAGGGAGGAGATTATGCAGAGTATGTAATGCCTGCTACCCCAACACTTGAAAGATTGAGTCGGGAAGATCATGGTTTTGAGCCTAACCTGGTCTACACACAGCTTTAAGGACAATGAGAGCTGCATAGTAAGAGTCTGTCAAAGGAAGGAAGGAGGGAAGGAAGGAAGGAAGGAAGGAAGAAAGGAAGGAAGGAAAGGAGGGATGGAAGGTGGTAAAACACAGCGTGTTGAGGATCTTCGGAAAGTTCCAGAATTACTAATATAGGTGTGAAAGAGGATACATTCCATGACTACATAGAACATTTTAGAAAGATTGTACTTTATCCATAAAGCAATAGAAAGCAACAAAACAGTAGCACAACAAGGAATGGATATATATATCGCTCCTGAGTGAATGGAATTTGGGGAATAAAGAGCAGATATTCTGTCACATAAAGCTACCTTCCTTCCCACTAAACACTTATATTCTCTTGAATATATAGCCTTTTATCATCATTAAGTTTGGAGGACCTTAACTGGTTAATCCAGACTTCCTTAATGCATGGATGGCTGAGTCTTATTGCCATATCAGGATAGCAAACCCTCCTATTAACTGTTAAAAGCACTGTTGTAGAATGCTTAAGATTGTAGCTGCACTGATGACATATACCTATATCCACACGTGGGAGACTGAGCCAGGATGACTGTGGTCAGGCTGGACGTTTTAGCAATTCCCAGGCTGTCTGAGTTTCATTTCAGGTTGCTGTGATAAAATACCCTGACAAAGGCAACTTAAATGAGAAAGTCACAGAAAATGAACAACAACAACAAAAAAGACCAGGCACTTAAGCCTTAGGGTTTTCCCCCTTAGTGACTATTTCCTCCACCACTCTATCTCCCAAGGGGCCCAAAAACTTTCCAAATGGAATACCAGTAAGGACCAGGTGTTTAAACACTGAAACCTGTGGTGAACATTTCAAATGCCAGCCATAACACAGAATATTCTGAGCTATTTACACAGCAGAAACATGCCTCAAAAACTAAAATCATGGGGCTAGGAAGATGTCCCAGTACATAAAATACTCGCCACACAAATATGAGAAGCTGAGTTTGGTCACCAGTACCCACGAAAAAGCTGGAGTGGAGGCATGTTCTCAGAATCCCAATTCTGAGTAGACCGAGACAGAAATATTCTAGAACTTTGTAACCAGTTAGTTTAGCCAAATCAGTGAACTTCAGGTCAAGTGAGAGACTCAAGGAAAAAAGTGAGAGAACAATTGAAAAAGACATGAAACTTGGACTGCTAGCCTCCCCATGCTTATAGACATTCATGCACAGGCCCTTGGCCTTCACACAGTGTAGACACACATACAGGCAGGGAAAAAATGCCTAAGATTTCAGGGCTCTCACTCCTTAGTTGACCAGCCTGGCTCTCTCACTTTAGACAGGAACCATGTTGATAATTACCTGTTGCCACCAAATACAATCCTGAGTCTATAAGCACATTTCTTAGAGAAAACTTGATTTGAAGTAAAATGAGATTCTATCAGTTAAATTAAATCAGCTTTATATATATATTTATATATGATATCTCTCATTTAGTAATTCCGACTCAATTCAAATAAGAAAAAGAAAGTATACTGACCTGGAATGACAATACATTTAAACAGTAGTTTTTATCCATTCTAAGATGAGAGCAACACATCTTTTGGCATGGCTTGAATTGCCTCCTATGATATAAAAATGATATTGCTGTTTAGGACAGACATCGGACTAATTGTGGCTCTAGCTGTTTAAATATCCCAAAACTCATGGCTGGATGCAATGGAAACCTGTGCCACCTTTTGAATGGATGCAGCTTTTTCTGAGTATTTTGTGAAAGTTCCAAGAAATTCTCTACATTAATGAGCTTTGATTGTTTGACACTTGTCCCAAAGATAACAGAATAGACATGAATACTAAATTGTCCTGAAAAATTCATTTTGTAGATGTGCAATAACAATAATCCAAGAGCACTATCCAAGGGAAATCAATTGTCAGTCCTGTCTGCTCCAGCTTGAGTTAATTGCATTCAATGGGATATGTAGATTCAGTCTTTTAGTGTTGTGTTGTGTCAGTTAAGGCTTTAGTTCAATCTGAGATACATCTCCAGGGCACTGCTCTTTGGTTGTATATTTTTAATTTTTAATTTGTGCTTGTGTGTGTGTGTGTGTGTGTTTGTATGTGTGTGTGTGGCTGGTATGCAGGTGCCTGTGGAGTCCAGAAGATGCCTGTAGAGCTCCAGGAGCTGGATTTATAGGAAGTTGTGAATTGCCTGACTTGGATTCTTGGAACACAACTTGAGCTCTCTACAAGAGTAGCAAGTATTCTTAACCACTGAACTATCTCTGCAGATCCATTGGTTAGATTTCTTCTTCTATAAAACCCTGCTATTTAAATGCCTTAGCCATGAAAAAACATCATTCACTATAAGTTCCTAATGGCATTGTCCTATTATAATGGCTTGTAATGTCCTGTTGGCCATGATCAGAGCTACCTTTGCAGCACAGCTACCGGAGCTGCAGAGGAATTCAGATTCATCTCAATTGCAGGACAAATGTTACTTAAAAAGAGAAGAGGATAAGAAGATTAAAAAGAGAGGTAAGGAAATAAATTAACACATATTCTAAGTGCATAAATAAAGGTATATTTGACATGCTCTACCTCCTGGATTTTTTTTCTTTTGGGTCCTGTTCACATGTATTCATTCCAGGCTATCTTTGAGCTTCCTGTGTAGCTGAAGATGACCTTGAACTTCTGCCCCCCACTTACTAGCTATTTTGATTAAGAGTGTGCACCTCCATGTTCAATTTTTTGAGGCACTGAACCTAATCCAGGGGTTCATACCCTTTAAGCAAGCACTTTTTCTATTGAGTCATGTTCTTAGCCTCCTCCTAATGCATGTACTATGTGGAGCTGTGATTCCCTGACTGGGGATGATACCTATGACATAATCAATAGAACATTGCAAAGATGAAGGGACATTACTATCACATTAATGCCGCTAAGATTACAACCAAGTTGCTAGGATATTCTCTATCAGACTTTGAGAGAAACTGTGGTCATGTTAGGAAGTTGCCATGCCTAGGAATATCATCATTTTCAGTCGATACCAAGATACAGAGGCCCTCAATCCGTGGCCACAAGAGACTGGATGGGTACCAATAATGTAATGACCAGGAATATGAACTGTTTCCCAACTGAGCTTCTAGTAAGACTACAACCCAACATATGGACTGTGTTTTATGAAACCTATCATCCAAAAACCTGATCAATTGCACCAATACACACACAGATCATGAGACAAAACACATATTCTCCTTCTTAGTTCATATGGCAAAATTTTTACACAGATATAGAGACATAGTTTAAATATTAGTATATTTATATAGAGTCATGATTTCAATATAAGATGTACTTAGTTTGAGTTAAGCATTGTAACTTAACCAATTTGACTTCCAATATATGAAATCTATAAAATGACCAAAGTATATTATTTAAATTAAAAGACATCCACATAGATATTTAGAGCATTTTGTGATATAATACTTTGTTTAAAAATATGTTTCTTTCCTATGTTAAAACCAGCTTGGTCACACAACACTAAATTTAGAAGATTAAATATTTTGGTAGAGTGTGAGATTTGACTTTATAATATGGTATTTAAGAACTTTGTCATTATAAAAATATGAGGATTTCACTTGAATTATTAGAGTTAGTGAAAGACATATTTTAAAAAAGGAAAATACATCAGAGTTTTGGGACTTATATTTAGTGAAAAATGTCCTGCTGTGTTTTCTCATCTGTAGTCATGGAAAGAGCTACTGATATTCCCACATAGTTTTGAAGGTACTATTTTTTATAATCTTTATTTTTGCTACATTATTTCTATAAGTTGATTTATTTACCTCCTGCCATTAAAGTTTTCATTTTAGTTTGTATTCCCTACTTTCCCAACCAGGTAGATTGCCTTACTTATCATGGTTGAGATTCACTATGCCTTATGAATCTGATTTCTCACTTTTCTCAATTCTAGAACAGTGCATACCCTTTTTTTGTTTGAATATTCCTTGACACCCTTTTCTATGTTTTCTTTCATGGAACTCTCAGAGTATGAATATTAATTTTAAGTTATTATTATACCCTCATTCTGAGCCTCTCTTAATGTTTCTCCTATTTTATATACTAAAATAATTTGGATTTATTTCTTTGAACAATTGCCTAAGCTTACCTTCCACATCACTGAAGATTTTATACTTTCATAAATTATATTGCAGTATATAAATGCTCACATATATGCATAGTCACAGACATGTGTACATAATTAAATACATTTATTTAATTTTAGAAAGTTGTTTATGTATTTAATTACAGAAAATTATATTTTGTTCTACTCTTCATAATATTTTTCATGGTATTTCTCTCATTTTTAAAGTAAATACTTTTATTTTTAAAAAATTAATTTGTAAAAATCATATGTATTTATTTTTATGTGTATTGGTGTTTTGTCTGTGTGTCTGTCTGTGCACCATGTGCATGCCTGATGTCCACAAAGGTCAGAAGAAGTGTAAGAACCCCTGGAACTGGTGCTATAGACTGTTGTGAGCTACTGTGTGTGTCCTGGGAATAGGAAGATCAGCTATATTTTTTATATCATACCTTAATAGATTGATTAATAATCAATCACATGGATATCTGTGCTTATCTAACACTCTATATTTTATTAATTACATCGGTAGTATATGATGTTTAAATATTTATGCATGCATATGATCATGAACATATTACATATAGTCACATTTGGTGCAGTCTTTCTAGCCATAAAGAAAGAAATCATGGTAGAAAATGGAAAGAACTTAAGATGATCATGTTATGTGAAGTGAGTCAGCTCAGAGGCAAATATCACAGGTTTTCTTTCATATGTGGGATATAGTGGGCAGGCATAGAAAACTGAAAGAGACATACTAGGGAAGAGCAAGGATTTCAGAGAAAGTGGAGTCATGATTGCGAATATAAACAAAATATGTTATATGAGCTTATGGAATATGTCTCAGTGAAGCTCACTACACTGTGAAATTAAGGCATATGAATATAAAACAAGGGATAAGCAGACATTCTAGAATGAGCAGGTTGTTTAAACTGGAGTACACATACAAAGTGACCTGTGTATCACTAACTCTCAAACAACTTTGCTTAACTGTGTCCTGAGTCCCAGCCATGCTGGAATCTTCCTTGTGCCAGTCACAGGTGTCACAGGTGACTTCCTTGTCTATGTTCCCACAGCCAGTCAGATCTACCAGCATAAATTACTTCAGTTTCTCTCCATGAGCTGCATTTTCCATCCCTTCTCCTTGTCCTTTGAGTGCTCCTAAAGAGATGATGATGGTACTTTTCTGAGACTCAGGTGTATTTCTTCCCTGGTTTGTCTTTGACCATCTTCGGAGACTTTTCAGGTCATTGTGTACATTAAGTCTGTTTGAAGCTCAGTCTGGTAGTATATGCATATAAGTCCCACTACACAGAAGGCTGAGGCAGAAGTATAGCAGTTATCTCCATGCCAGCCTGGGCTACATCATAAGGCCTTGCTTCAAAAATGAAAGAAGGAAAAAAGAGAGGAAGGAAGGATGAAAGGAAAGACAGAAGACCTTTTGTGATATTTTTTGTGATATTTCCATTTATTTATAAAGATTATTTTGATTGTGTCATTTTCCAAAAGCCTTTTAAGGTACAGACCTGACCTGATGCTGCCTAGGATCAACAGGATGCTAATGCTGATCCAGGCCTGTGTATCACATAATTCCCTCACTAGGAGAATGTCTTTTGCAATGTCAAATATTTCTCCACTCACAAAATATCAGGGTCTCTACATCCCATGAATCCCTGTTACTAGCACAGACCTGGAAATTAAACTTGAGTGGGTGAAAGATCTCCATCTCTACATAATTCAATGATGATGGAACACCCAGGCATGGTTGTACAAATCTGTAATCATGACATTATAGAAGAAATAGAAAAAAACAAACAAACCAAAAAATCAACAAATCACTTAAAGAAAGTCAAGAAAAAAAAACAATCAAATAGATGAAGGAAACAATTCAAACAGTTCAAGACCTGAAAACCAAAATAGAAGCAATAAAGAAAACACAAACGGAAGGAATGCTGGAAGTAGAAAAGCTGAGTGAACAATCAGGAACTACAGATACAAGCATAGCCAACAGAATACAAGAGAGAGAGGGCAGATTTTCAGGTGTTGAAGATAAACTAGAGGAAATAGATTCACGAACCAAACAAAACCTTAAATCCAACAAATCCTTAACACAAAATATCCAGGAAATATAGGACACCATGCAAAGCACAAACCCAAGAATAATAGGTATAGAAAAAGATGAAGAAGCCCAGTTCAAAGGTACATGAAATATATTCAACAAAATCATAGAAGAAAACTTTCCCACCATGAAGAAGTACATGCCTTACAGGAAGCTTACCAAACACCAAAGAGACTGGATAAAAAAAAATGTTGGGGAAGTCCTGTGTATATGTCAATAAAGCACTGTTGGCCAATAGGGAAGCAAGATATGTGGGACTAGGAGTCCAGGAGGACTCTGGGTAGGAGAAACACAGGGAGTCAAGATGTAACCACCATAGGGATAAGAAGCCCGGAAAGTTCTCTGGTAAGAGAAATACTTATATT